AGTAAGCGATTAAAAAATTATTTCTGATTAGATGTCAGCGGATTTGGTCACCACTTTGGCTAACGTGACAGTAGCAGCAATAGCGGATAAGGCCAAGGAACTATTGAAAAGCGCAAATGAAGTTTCAGATAATGTTACAACGTTATCTTTGCCTACGACAACTACCACAATTTTTATTACGAACTCAACAACGGCAGGTCCCAGGTATGTGATTTTTAAAGTGAACGTTGAAAATTGGTTTCTTCTTTTTCTGTAACCTATAAATAGGAAAGCTTTTACAAATTATTTTCAGGACTCCGTTAGTTACCTAAATGTCCTTAAAAATAGCATTGGAATAGTGTAAGAATTTGAGTAAAAAACATGAGGTTTTCTCAGTTATATATGTCAATTATTACATGAGATTGTTTTTAAATGCAGCATTTGAAAGCTTCAATTATCTGTGTTAAATTAAGAACTATTTCAGTGTTATGAATACAACAACGATGACTGTAACAACAAAATCTACAGTTTTTTTAACCACGACTACAACATCAACGACAACAACGGCAGCGACAACCGCAGTCACAACAACAACAACGATTACCACGCCATCTACTAGCACAACAGCAGCACCAACAACCACAGAACCCCTCGCAGAATCTTACCATCTTTTAGCCGTATTTGTTACCGCTCTGTTTATAGCGACAATCCTATTAATTGCCAAAGTTATCGCGAGTCATAACAGTAAAAGGTGGAGCATTTTTCCTGCGGCACTTTTGCTAAATTATTGATTGTAGTACTGATTAAATCTGGTTAAGACTGCACATCGGATCTGTTTTTAAAGTATTTGAGGCTCAATTAGTAATATAGAAAGTTAGTTCTGGCTTAATCACCGTATCTTAATATATCATAGATTTTTTAGTATTTATTAAAGTATTTATTTATCATTTATTAATTGAAATGTCATTTTTTAATGGTATAAGATCTGAAAAGGATTTTTCGAAGTTTTGTGGTGATTTCTTTAAAACTTGCTTAGAGGAAATTGGAATATATTTTAGAAGAATTTTTTAGACGAGTAGTTATGAATTGGTGGCGTCCTAATTTATCTACCCATAGAAGAACCGGTCCAGCTGCTGTTTACACAGCGGCTGGTGACTTACAGCAGCAAGTAAGCTCTATGGATGTGCCAGACTCCAGGTTAGTTTTATTTTAAAGGCAGCTGAGTCAATATAACATTGTTCTTTTCAAATTAATAATTTGACTATCTGATCGTCTCAGGTGAAGAATTTTGCTACGCAGCATGAATTTTCAATGACTTTTCTGGATTCGAAGCTATTCTGTTGCCTTTTCTTTGCAAACTTAGCCTGTTGCCGTGAAGTTTATTTTTAAGAGAAGCTACGGGCTAGTACGAGAGAAGGGTTAGCGAAAGTTAAAAATTTGCCATAAATTTTAACAGTTTATTGAGAGATTTTTGATTGGTCATTCTTGACTTTGCATTTTATCATTACAACTGCGGCATATCAAACGGTAAATTCTTCCTCTCCTCTCGCTGCTTTCGTTGTAGCATTTTTATGCTTTAAAGTTTTCGTTTCAAGATTTGAACATAAATTAATACATTTATAATCCTTGTAAGTGAAGGAAGTATAAAAAAGTGCTGTCATAGATTTGACTGGGAAAGACAGTTTTTCGACGAGGATGCTTATAATCAGTCACGAGAATTCGATGCTGATGTGAGTGTTTTGAGTCTGACAAGTGGCGTTTTGCTATTCACGTTTTATTCTGGTTATACGTTTTAATTTCTCTTATTTCTCGTCAAGCCTTTCACGTTCTTTTACACTTTAAATAATTTATTTTGAAAGCAGGAATTTATTTCGAGTTCTCAGTTTTCTTTGTTAGTTTCTGGTAGCCGCGGAAGGCTACTTCATTTAAAGATTGGAATTTTCAGAGGACCAGAGCTCGCTTGCAGCTTCTCAGCGACTCCTAAAG